CCGCGTCGTACGTACATCGGCCGCTGTTCCATTCCCCTAGATCCTTGGATCGGTGTACGAAGATCGCCATGGCAGTCGGCGGAAGAGTGTAAAGCTCGCTGCATTCATGACCATGCTTCGCCATCCCAGCCATCCAATGCATCCCTCGTGTCGCCTTCCGTCCAGCCTGAACCTCGACACATCCCAGTCATACATCATATCCTCCTCGTCACCCCTCACCCCTCGGAAGGATCACAATCTGATACGGAAACGGATTCGACTCATTCGTCGTGATCGGCGGAATATGCCCTTTCTCCGCATCCACAACCTCCACAACCCTCATAGCCGCCTCCTGCAGACTCCTCTCCATCACGCGCCGGTTCCTCGCAGCCTCGGGCTCGCTCCGCGCGCTCGTCAGCGTGACGTCGAGGAGCCAGGTCTCCCACACGGTCTCCTCGTCTGCTTTGGCGATGAACCAGCCTTTCCTGCGCTTGCGCTCGAGGAATTTGATGGCGAGGATGCCGCGGCTTGGGGAGGGGGTGGTAGATTTGGAGCTGTAGTGGGAGGGGGAGGTGTGCGGGGTGGTTGAGGAGGCTGTGTCGAGGGAGCGGACGAAAGCGGTTGCGCGGGTTTCGATCAGAGATTCGATGTCGTCTTCGGAGACGTAGGGGAGGGTGGTGTCGAGCACGTCGTGGGTGGCTGGGGTGAGGGGAGTGAAGTAGCGGTGGAAGAAGACCTGCTTCCGTTAGTAGGAGCGCATTGCCTGTCTGTCGTCCGGGTAGAGCTGCATCGTACCGTGTGCACGAGGCCTACGTTGGCATTAGCGGTGCTTCATCTCGATACTGAAGAGGTGGCAGCACCCTTGACTACATCCTTGACGTTGCTCCGGTCGGCGGAGAGCTCGAGGGTGAATTCGGGGGGCTTACGGCTGTCCATGGCCTTGCCGGGGCGTTGTCGTGCCTTCTGCTTTGGGCTGTTTGTCCGTGCTGAATTAAGCCGTCACACTTGAGGAGCCGCTGCTGGAGCTGAGTTGCGCAGTGCGGAGAAGACGAACGGTTTGGATTCTATAAGAGGATTCCTGATGGTTCAGGCTGCTAACCACGTAGTTGAAGCAGCGATGGGTGAGCCTGGCGATGGTGGCGGTGGTGGCGGTGGCCGTGTCCCCCTTCCTTGGCCCCCAAAAGAGCATCCTCCGTGCTGACATGACCACTATGTGCACCGTCACGATCGATCGGCAGAGAGCAGCAGCAGCATCACGAGAAATACATGTAAATCAGCCAGGACTGGACGCCCAATTCTACCGTGCAATTAAGTACCCGACCTCGATCGGTAGGTCCAGTCGCATATACGCTTTCAATTCACCATCTCCTACTTCTTCCATGCCCATCCACCGAATGCAGTAGCAATATCAGCTCACGCAGCGACAACAACCGCATCTCCTACCAAGGTACGACAATGGCGTAACCTACCGAGATCACGAGCCCTGACGGACGACAAGGTATCAAAACCTCCGACCACGATGACAGGCGAACAGCAAGCAGGTACCGTAGCAGTCATCGGACTGGGAGCGTATGGCCTTGCCACCCTCAAGAACCTGGTCGAGGAGGGGTTCAACGCCACCGGATTCGACCGCAACGACTACGTGGGAGGCATCTGGCGCGCCACCGCGGAGTCTGGACTGAGCACTCTCCCGACCACGGTAGTGAATGTGTCGCGAGAAAGGGCCTGCTTTACGGACTTCCCATTCCCGAATGGCACCAGCTCTTACCCTACGGCGGAGCAGGTCGACCGCTATCTCAACGATTACTGCACGGAGTTCGAGTTGTGGCCGAGATTCAAGCTGGCAACGTCCGTGAGCAACATCCGGCATGACGACGAGCTCCGGAAGTGGCGGTTCGAAGCTACGACGGAGGATGGCAGCAAAGAGGTCTTGACTTTCGACAAGATCGTCATTGCCACGGGTCCGCATAACATCCCGGTCATGCCCAGTCTACCCGGCAGTGAGTCGTTTCAGGGCGAAATCATTCATTCTCTCTACTTCAAGGACCCGGCCAAGTTCAAGGGTAAGAAGGTCGTTGTGATTGGCATGGGTAACACCGCCGTCGACACTGCCACAGGTCTCGTAGGCATCGCGGAGAAGATCTACCTGGCACACCGGAACGGCGCTGCCCTCCTGCCACGAATACTGAACAACGGCACCAGCCTGGATCATGGCGCCTCCTATCGAACGTCCGCCATAGGTGACGTCCTGGAAACACTGTTTCCAAAGCTTGCCGCAAAATTCATCGACGACTGGGTCGCCTCGATATCTAAGCAGCACTTCAACCTCGACCCCCAATGGCGCATCAACACTCCCACCCCGTCCCTAAAGAAGCAAAACCCAACCGTCTCCGACACGCTCTACCCAGCCCTCCGATCCGGCGCCATCACCTCCACCCACGCACCCAAGCACTACACAGGCCCCCACTCCCTCGAACTAGAAGACGGCACCCTCCTCTCCTCAATCGACGCCCTCATCTTCTGCACCGGCTACCGCCTCGACCTCAGCTACCTCGGCCCCCACGACCCCACCCTCACAACCCCAACCTCCACCGCCTCCACCCCACCCCACCACGACTACAACTCCCCCCTCCTCTACCAAAACATCCTCTCCCACCAGCACCCAGATTCCCTCGCCTTCATCGGCATGGCCCTGGTCCTCTTCCCCGCCTTCCCAATGGCAGACCTGGCCTCAATGGCGCTAGCCCAACTCTGGAAACACCCTTCCCTCCTCCCCTCCCGATCCGAAATGACAAGCCAATTCGCCCGCCACCGCGCCTGGTGCGCCCGCATCACGGCCCTCCCTAACCCAGCGGGCAAGGCTCCGCAGCCACTGCATATGGAGACCGGGGCGTTCATCAAGTGGGTGCAGGATATCGCGGGGACGAAACTGGACGAGCATCTCAGTTATACGAGTCGGGCGGCTTGGAGGCTGTGGTGGGAGGATAGGGAGTTGAGTCGGTTGCTGATGGATGGGGTGTACTCGCCGCATGCGTATCGGTTGTTTGAGAGTGGGGCGAGGCGGAGGAGGTGGGAGGGAGCTAGGAGGGCGATTGTGGGGGTTAATGAGGATGTGAGGGAGAAGGTGAGGAGGAGGGGGAAGGAGGATGGTGGGTTGGGTGGGGTGGGAGAGGAGACGGGGGGCTGAGGGGGTGGTGTTGACGCTTGTGCGTACTCATGTGGAACCTGATTTCCGAAATATTGACAAATCTCATATATGCCGTAAGTTACCTACAATGGCGGTCGCTCGCTGCGGTCCGGTGAGATTTCCGTGACAGGGCGACCCGTGGTGCTTCGGTGAACATGTACACGAGCACATTACTTCTTCTCCGTGAAATAGTGTGACGTTCGCCTCTTGGTGCGTCGTCGCGTGCCACTATACCTGATGTGCACCTACCTGCACTTTGTCCATCTACTCTCGTGCCAATCGGAGATTGTCCTCCGTGTACCTGCTTTCGCAGCGATGTTTTCCGTGCAACCCAGTCATAGCTCTCTTCGACCCTCTCCGCAGTCGGCCCAATAACATCGAATGTCCGCCTTCCAGTCCATTCCGGTAGAAGCCAAGGGGAAGCCACGGCAGAGATCGCTCGTGCTTGTTGTTCTCGGAGCTCATGCGACACTCCCAACAGGCACGTCTTGCTGTCGAGCTCGGTCACGCGTGCAATGTGTCCCTCATCGAGCCGCCGTATTGATCAAGCCGGTCAACCATATGCCATCAAAAGTCAGATCGCCGCAATGAGGGATTCCTTCGGCCGCGAATGGAGCTCACACCCGATTCTGCAGGTTCTCTAAGGTGAACAGGGAGTGTGGTTGGCACCGGCCTTGTAGGCTCTTGCCACCACGTCGCTCCACGCGAACCGAAAGTCCGCCGATCGGACCTTCGCACCAGTGAGCCGGTGTCTTTGCTGACTTGTGGAGTCCACCTTTGCAGGCGGTGACTTGGCTCGCTGCCGACGAGCGCCGGTGCTCGCTTGTGACCATCTGGGCGCGCTGCATCGTAGTCTCTCACAGGGTCGCTTGGCCGCTCGAAAATAATTGGGCTCGTACCACGCGCTGTGCTTGATCTCATCTCCGGCTCACTTCACTGCGTATGACCTGCTGGGCTTGCCGCATCTCTTGCTAACGCGGCGGTCGACTGGGGCGCTCGATCTCGTAGGTTCGTTGTCTTGTAGTCTTTTCAGATGTCGCGCGACTGATAGCGGCGCCGTATGTCATTGCGGCGATGCAGGAAGGCTCGGAAGTTTTGAAGGAAAGGATTGAGACTGACTGTCAACTTACCGCGGTGGTGAAGGTGGAGAATTCCGGAGCGCTGCAAACAAGTCGCGCTTCAACACGCAGCAACGTCGCAACGATACCTCACCAGTCCACTCATGGAATCAATACCCGCTGTCTGAGGAGCTAAAGAACGTCTGTCTCAAGGAGCTCCAATGCTGTTGCAGCGCAAAACGTGAGGATCCCGCCATCGGGAACAAAGAGGCGCGGTAGCGCACTCCAGCGCCAAGAGATTGTCAAATTTGGCGTTTCTTCTTCGAGCTGCCGTGGCTGCGAAATGCTTGCAGTAGCAATACCCACATCAACGTAATCGAATGCGTAAAAATTGTTGCACCCTTGGAGATTGTTGAGAGGCATCAAACGACCGACATTTGTATTCGAACTGTGAGGATTGGACTGTCGGCGGACGTGTTGTAGGTGGTCTGACAAAAAGAATCCTCAGCCTAGTTAGACTCGAACACACAGCCTTGGAAGGCCAAAAAAACCTGATGTGCCGCAGGGTATCGGCCCATACGCCCAGGAGGAATACCCGGAGGCAACCCGCACCCTACACAGTCACGGTATGTTAGCCCAGTTCGACGGTGAGTGTTAGTATACCCTTCTCTCGTCGATACAGGGTGTACCACCCAGTAATAACATTCCCTTAAGGGGCCCTGTAAGTATGTCAGCCGTTGATGTTCGACTGAGTGAGCACTCTGAGAGTGAATGGTCGGCCGGGGCGGGAATCGAACCCGCGCTTCTGAAAGGATGAATCCAGCGTCCTACCACTAAACGACCCGGCCAAGGGTAGGGGAGTACTCACGTGCTTTCCTGATGTTCGAGATTATTGCTTAGCACCGGACTTATATAGTCATGTCTGTCCGCCGAGGTATTGCCGGCGCCGGTTGGTCGCTGTCGGGGTAGGGACACATCCACGGCCATATCACAGTCACAACTCCTTTGCCATGCATGAGTAGACGGTAGGAGGGTGCATCTCGTGTTCCTGGCCATCGTCGTCGTATTGAAGTGCCGTTACCACCTTTTCGTAGTTTGCCCATCTTCCCCCTTGGCTTCACCAGGGGCTTTGGCACGCATCTCACTCCCCATTACGCATGACAGCAGCATCACCCTCGCCCACCCCACGAGGGGACGGGCATGATGCTAAGCTGAGTCTCCGATTGCTTGCTGGACAATCGTCAAAGAACGCAGCAAACCCATACGACGATGACCACCCCCGTCGCATTCCAACGGGCGCCGCACGATCGCCCAGCACCTGCACTGCCGTGCCCGTACGAGCTGGCAGACGACGAGCAGAAGACGACAGCAAGCCGACCCGGTGGTAGATGAGAGCGCGGTATAGCCAGCGAGCTCGGAGCGCATTACTGTCAATGGGAGATAGCCCATAACGCGGAATTCGGCACCGATGGCAAAGTGCGGCCGCGAAAGACCACCAGACCAGCATAGAACGCTGCCGAGAGGACAGCGACCATACAGTTGAACAGCAGCACTGGGTATGGACGGCGCTTCTCACGAATACGCGGCTCGCGTAGCCAACTGCACGATCTCCCATCTCAGCATGGCGCTACGTGAGCGGAGGAGAGCAGGGCGGCGGGCAGGACGGCAGCAAGAGCGGATCCATAATCGTGTGCGCATGTGCTTCAAGCTCCAAGCGGTGGAGATGAGAGGATATCGTATGGACGTCGCTGCTTGTCAGAAAGCAACGACGAGGCGGCTGCAGTATGGGTGAAACGGCACTCCCAGGCGTCCCACCCAGCTCGTAAAGCGGCGTATCCACGAAGAGAGACCTGCCAGACGATAGAGTGTCTCGGCGCGATCGGGAGCCAAATCGGATACTTGCAGACGCAGAATACCGCATGGGTACTCTGGATCGGTGGCGCCGCAGCATAGGTGATGGGTGGTCATCTCAGAGGAGACGGGCCAGGGACCAAGCCGGCCGGGTACGACAGCGGCGGGAGCGATTTCGACTCCTACGACACCGTCGACAATGCGGGTCTCGACACTGGCGTGTTGATTGTAGACTTAAACTGCTCCAGGACCATGGTCATCGAAACCGGTCTGCCAGCCACAAGTGGTGCCACACGCCTTCTCCGATATACCGGAAGGTACCGGAACATGAGAAGCTAGTGGAGCTTTTCAATGGAAGGCGACCAGAGAGCGTTCGGATCGGTGCGGTGGTATGCAGCAAGTGCAGCAGTCTTCTGATGCTGACAGATTCAAGATGTCGACGTGTACCGACTCGAGCTCTCCATTTCTGCCCGTCGAAAGGAATCTCGTCTCACCCACGGTTGCGGAGGCCAGGCAATGCTGGTTTGTGCTGGTGGCGTATGAGTGCATTGCCCGGAGACGGCGATGTACCATTACGTTTGACAACGGATTGACCAGGGACGACGATTACGAGTCCGAGTCAAGGCCTTGACATTCTGTGACCTGTCCAGTCCTTCGGGAGATCAGACGTCAACGATTGAGAGGTTTTCCGTGTCGAGCTGAGCTGACCGTATATACCCGTATTCTGCTCCAAGAAGAGCGCTCCGTCCCACCCTCGATTACAGAGGCGTGGGACTATTCTCGTCGTGGTTCAGGCAAGCATTTGTCCGTACACTCACGGTGCCGGCTCCTTTTCAAAGGTACTGCCGCCGGAATGGCACGGTCTTTCTTCGAAGACTTCCCCTGTCGCAGGCACTTGGCCTTCTGTACTTCAGCCTGTGCCATTCGCCGCGGCTCTTCGGTTTCATATCCATCCTCGCCAGACTTGTCATGGCAGGAGTGGTGGTCAGTACTGCGCAGACCACGGCAGATCCGCAGGCCCCGCAGTGTTTCTAAATGCTATTCCTCTCCGTGCCTTCTCTTGCTGCACACCACGATACGTGGGCATTTGCGGACCTTTGCTCTCTGATCTTGCTCGACCGTGAACACTGGGGGGCCGGAGAAGCGGTCTGTGGTCCCGCGGGGGTGTGCTGGCCAGGCCAGTGCGGTTCAGCGGAAGGCTGCGTCGCGCGAACAGCGAGGGCCTGCCTATGCCGCCTTGTGGCGATCATCGGGTTCATCGATGTGCTGTCTGCGCATTGATGAAATGATTCGAGGGAGTGGTGGTGGCGGTGGGTGGCTTCTGACGCGCTCCTGGCGTCGGTTTGCGAGCACGCTGTGAGACGCCCGCGAGATCGTTCACGAGCAGCACCACCACCCGAATCAGTAGCTGCTTCGAGTGCCATAATGGCCCATCGTCGTGATTGTCGGGGGCGCCGGCGAACAGACGCCTCGAGGGCTGATGAAATCCGCCCGTCCCTCGGTGGCATCAGAGCGAGTCCGTTCACCGTCGCACAAGCCAGGAGTTGCTTTCACTCCTCGCCGCCACTGCATCTTCACCGCCGCATCTTCACTGCCGTCGCCGCTGTGCGATCGTCACCCAACCTCGCGCGTGAAAGGTGGTCCTCGACCGCTGGCAGCCGAAGCCTGCTGCGAAGACGCCGAGGGGCGACGACAACGACATCGCATCCATTGCGACCGTTCCAAACGCATCGAGGACCTTCTGCACAACCAAATCAACGACCTCATCGACTCCGCGTTGCATGCGATCGCTGTGGTCGTTGCCAGCAGCTGCGAAGCCGACCACCGTTAAAACAGCACCCGACGTTCACAGGGCACTCCCGCGGCCAGCCAGCCTTGGCGGAACTGGCCAGTGCACCACTGAGTTGCAGTCGTAATAAGCTTACCTGCCTTGCCGCCGCTACTGCAGTGGCTGTTTGGGGGCGGAGGTGAATAACAGCCGCACGTTTTAGGGTGTTTTCGTCGCGGGCTAGGGCTGAGTGCTCTGGCCCCAGCTCCTGCCCGCGCCCGACGACTGCGCAGGAAGCTGCGAGGAGCGCTCACGTTGCTCTTGCCATGGTCTGACTGTCAGGATGGTCAAGAAGCTACGTACGGTCGGAGGCGATCATCTGACGTGACCTCCCACAGCCTTCATGTTTGCATGCGCGTAACCGACAAGGACAAGCACTGCGAGACCGTTGCGGCATCATCGATCCCATCGCACTGCGAGTCGACGGATAGCCGCAGGATGAGCAGCGCAACTTGGACAGCTACAGAGGCAAGAAAGGCGAAGAGCACCATGATGGTCGACCTCGCAGCCTGCGCCGGAGAATGGTCTCGACGAGATGCACGGCCACACACAGGAGCGCGCAGCAGCGTGTCCGGCGGCAGAAGAGGGAAGTGGAACACGGGGGTCTGGAAAAAGCCGCCACCGAGGATTGTGGCAAGCAGGCCTGCGCGAAGGAAATACGGCAGGCGAGCATCAAGTAGAGGCGCGTGAACAAAGACTCGAAGATGCATGTACCCGCTTCTGTTCATCATTCGCAGGTACATGTACTCGTGCCAAGGGATTGCCTGCTCAGCTTTCACTCCCTCTTTCGTTAGCATCCACATCCTTCCCCCATCTTCGACCCAAATATCCATCTTTCCGTGTACGTGAGACGAGTACGCGGCTTGTCAGATCGCCAGCGCGCTGACCTAGGCTCGACCGCGCCCTGGAGAGATGTCAGACCTCCAGGTCTGCCAAGATTCGCCTCCCTTGTAGTACTCGGCCCACGAGGCCTCGGACCGTATCGTAAGAACGACCAAGCGATCAAGCTATTACCGCAAAGCAGAAGGCTCCACCAGGATAGCTTTCGACGATCGAGATATCGAAGTGCTTCATTCCAACGGATCCTCTTGCCTGCACCCACATTTATGCTCTCGCATGCCGACTTAGCGGAGACTATGACCCACGTACCGACAATCTGCGGAGCACAACGATAGATCAGCTCCCTCATCCAATGGGCATCCTTTACGATAAGGCGTCTCACATCACAACGCCCACTTGCTAAAGCTCGACATATGTCACACCGAATCCTTACCTCCCAAACCTCGACTATGATCTCAGTCCCTAGGAAGTCAACGAAACGCGACACACGCTTTGGCAACAGCATGAAAAAGAATTGACTCGAGAGCAAACGACGTCACGCGTACCCACAATGCCCATGCGAGATGAACAACAAGACAGTGAAGCGTCGTCCGAAGCCGTTCGGCTTGTGCTCCTTCCACGAAGAGAATCTGATCCAGCGACGACCGACTGATTGAGTCTGTCGGTATTACCATAAGCTACGTGAGGCCAAAATGTTGTGGTGCGTTCCGAGCGCGTGTCGCCGACCCTCAGACCGCGACGAAGCTCACAGGACTGACATGTCCGTCTTGGTTGCAAAGTCGGGTGCGTGGTAAGCGTAGACGTCCCAGACTCCACTTCGTCCAGTGCATTATCTGATAGAATGAGAAGAGGGACTCGAACTCGACCGAATATGGCTCCAGAAATGAGAATCATGGACATGTACTTAATAAGTACACGTGTTGAGCCTCGAAGCCGTCAGACTGAGACCAGTTTCGACGGCGAGCGTCGGCAGCCTCGCCGTTCGTTATCAGAGAGGATTGACTTGACTCCCTGCAGGGTTCGGGGCCGTCACCTTTGTACATGGTAGACTTGACGATCCCGAGGGCGTCTCAGCCGTTAGAATCCGTTCGGGGTTGAACACAGCTGAACGTCGGGGACGTGAGAAGGAGAGAGAGCGCAGAGACTGGCTTCGTGAGAACATGGGCGAAGATGTGCATTACATCCAGGAGAAAAGCTTCCACCCCAAGTTTCCCATCTCTACACGAAGCAAACCCACCAGCACCAACACCCGCTAGCTCAATCGAGGACAAAAGCAACCTGACCCCATGCCATACCAGCCCAAAATTCAAGAAAACATCACAGCCTTCC